TCGAGGCATTGGACTCCAAGTACAGGACCAACTAATAATAAACTGGTAAACTTTTGCCATTTTCCAAGGATCCCACGCATATTTCTTCTTCGTGGAAACCATGGGAGAAAGAATGACTCGGCAAAGCCCAGAGTGAAGTATTTCTTGGTTTCTTGGCTATCATACAATATCAGCTTTCTCCAATTTTCATAATCATTCATAACAGGCTGTTTGAAGACTTTGTTTTTACTGTCCTCATTGTCTAGTTATTGCCACCATTATCATTACTATCATCATCATCATTGTCATCATCATTTGGATATTACTCAGACTCGTCATAGCTGAAATTGCAAAAGAATTAAGAAAATATTGGAAGGAGCTGGGATCTGAGATGGTTTTAAATGAAAGGTTACCAGGAGATGATGGTGAAAGAATAACATTAAATATCATTGTCATGGTAATGACCCCAATGGCAACGTTGGCAGCTAACACTCACTGGACATTTAGCATGTGCCAGATTCTGTGGTCATTGCTGTATACACGTAATTTTACTAAATTCCCAAAACAACCCTATAAAGTAGGTACTGTTATCATTTCTATTACACGCATTAGAAGACTAAGAGCTAGAAAGTTATGTAATTTCTCCAAGGTCCAAAATGACACTAGTGTTTGGTATGATGTTAATTTGGGCGTTTGGAAGGGAAGTGATGACTTTATGAATCTTGTTTCTAGATTCATGTTCTCATTAATAGTACAAGCCCAATGTGAAAAGGGCTAAGTGAAAGTGTAATTTTATGAATTTTTTGTGAGACATATTTATTAAAATGAAATACTTTCTTAAGCATGTACCTACTCTTATATTTAGACTTATATCCTAATTAAAATTATACATCTTGAATTTCAATTTTGCCTCTAGCTCTGCTTACTATGAAAGCCTATGGGTTTTCTTTCAGTGCATAGCATTGATTATCTGAGCTCCAAGAATTTCTTAATGAGTAAAGACCTCATACTATTTGCTACTCTGCACTTAAAAGGCGTTTGGTAGGAAAACATATATTTCTGGGCTGTTTTCTAAAGAATGTGTAGTCTGTTCATTCTTGTAGACATTTTTTTTTAGTTAAACCATCCAGATTTACTGAACTGATCTTGGGAGTTATACATTAACCTACACTGAAAAATATTAGCCAAGTATTTGTTTTTTCGTTGCAGTACACAAAGCTTGTTTATGAGCTCAAAACCAGGAACAGTTGGACCTCGATGGATTAGAAGTTTCTTTAATTCCAATGAGCAAGGAATTACATTGCTGATGATGTTCCTATTTTACCTTCACTCTAATCTGTTTTGTAGCAGTGAGGCAAATGTATAGTGTCCCAATATTATTGTACAATAGTAATAGGAGAAATGGAGTCCTGGAGTATTTTAGTACTCTGAACTATGCTAGATCTATTGTATTTCTAACAATTATTTCTTTGATAGCAATATCTCATCATTAAGGCTATCTATAATAAACTGCAGTGAAAAGGAGAGATTCTTTAGTGGTGGAACACAGTAGAATGGAATTAAAGGGATTATTTAAAGAAAATTTCAGTTATGGATTTCAAGTTCTTCATCCTAGAAGCTCCCACATGCCCTATTCTCTTCACAGCTGTTTATCATCACCCATGAACTATTTCTGTGTCATAACACACTGTACGTGTCAACTGCATATTGCTGATTTTAGATTCATCAAATATATACCAATAGCATGAATGACCACATAGGAGAAACAACTGAGAATTAGATATGAAAGCATGCCTAACTATAGTCTAGTGCAGGATTTTCAATAAAGGCCACTTTTCTTGTTAGGAGGATCCCTTTTTTGTAAAGCAGCTAGGTCAATGTTTATCTGGCTACATTTCATATTTCAGCTTCTCTAATATCACCAATGGAAATTTTTATCTGGATAATTTTTCAAAAGACTTTATTTAATCACATGAAAGACATGTGGAGTCAGGTGCATAAAATAGAAAATCAGAGGAAAGGGAGAAAAGAAAATGCAGACACCCTAACTCTGACCATCTGTGTAGTCAAACTGTGCATTTGTTTCAACTTCCTGGCGTAAAAGGAGAAAAAGAGGAAAATATGGTCAGTTACCACGGGACTTCTTACCTGTTATATCATAGTACAGACAGACATAATTATTTCCAGGGACGCGGTGGAAACTCAAGGAGCCCTGCAAGCCAGCTAGCCTAAGGGCTGAGAGGATCAACATTTGGGCACGCCCATCAATGCTCTGGGGGTCATCAGTGCCCCCCAGCATTGTAGTTGGAAAATCCATTACATAGTTCACATTACCAATGTTATTAGCACAATAATTTGCTATTAATAAAGAGGATTTTGTTTATGCAATTGTCTGGTTTTCACTGTTTCTGGGCATGGTCTTACCTTATCCGGTAGGTTGCAGTATCATCCAGTTTTCCAAAGGAATTTCTTAGAGTAAGAGATGCAGGACCTTCCTGATGCAGACACCAGCCCTCAGTGTCCACAGCATCATGGATGACGTGCATCTCTGAGCCATGAGACAAATTCACATGGACTACCGAGTCCTGTGGAGAAAAAGGGACAGCACGGCTACTCTGTCAAGGGGAGAGTGCCCCGATCCTTCCCTCACAGGGTTTTTATTGGTTTTTAATTTGCCCAGGAATACAGGTAAAGTTCATTAATCATTGTCAGGAAGTAAGGATCAAACAATAGATAACATATAAAGAACTCTGAGGGCCTATTCTGAGTCAGGGTCTGTTAGCTAACTGGCTACAAAACTCTGGGAAACAAACTCATTATCTGCCTGAACCTTTATCATTTAATTAAGAGCGTTCTTAGTGAAGCGGGTTTCATAGGAGTTTATGTATTCTTTCTCAGGCCTGATCACCCGGGGAAACCCGCCCTTTCTAGCACAGGGCTGCACTTCTCTCTGTCATTGTTTTAGGATTAAGTCGTGCAGGGGAAGTAAGGCAGCCAAGGGACAGGAGACTTCTCACAGACAGAATGAGGACTCAGGTTTTGTCAAAGTCGAGGGGTGAAGGTCCCTCATCTCCTTTGGCTATAGCCCCCCAAGTCTTTCCCTGGGACCTCCACATGATCATGCCTGTCTTAGGTCATTCCCCCCTTGGGGAATCTTACCCATCATTGGCTAACTGATCAAGCATTGGGGCCCAGTTATGAAAAGAAGAGCAGAAGAGTCGCTCCTGCCAGGGAGATAAGCTTTGTTTCCTTAGTGGCTTCTGGTGCAGTGGTCTCTCACTCAGCCTTAGCCCTGGGTGGCGGGGGGGCGGGGGGCGGTTTGCAGCTCCTGAAACCAGACAGGGTGGTTCCCAACACTTTCCTCCCTGCCTTCTAATATAAAAGACACACTTTCCCTTGGGGAATATGAGGATGAGCCAGGCTTCCGCCGTAGCACTGATGTGTGAGGGCTCTGCCATCACCCTGCCATTCAAACCCCAGGAAGGGCTCAGAAGGGCAGAGCACTGCCACTTCGAAGCCTGCAGGAAAAGGGAGACACATTTTTATGTAAATTCAGACTTTCACATACTGAACCAATATGCCTGCTTCCAAGCTGTGCAAGTTGCAACTGGCACTATTTTGGAAACAAACATGCAGGCGTGATCAGCTACTAAGAGACAGAAGCAGAATATGTGGAAAATGTTTTTCTCCTAGAGAGCCTTGTGAGGGGTGTGGAAAGGAGCTTTTCAAAGGAGGGAGACACCAAATCCTGTTGCCATGATGGGCTATGAAAAACAGTATACACACTCCTGAGGGCTTTTCTTCAGAGCCTCTGGATTGGTAGGAGGACAGCCAACAGTTACCATAAAGAGCAGAGAAACTAACCCAAGCCCAGAGGTTTCATGTCAACAGGCAGCTTGGCTGAAAGTTAGGGGAACGTCATTCTAAGTGCTCCTGGTTATTAGGTAGATGATATTTCTCCTGGAATTTTTTATTGCTACTTTGATTTGAAATAATGTGATTCTGAAAGATCCACCTTTATATGTTGCTTTGCGATGCTGGGACTTGGCTAATTGCATTTCTTAGATTCCTTTATGGGCTGATTTCTTAAATTCTGTCAGTGGGAGGCACCAGAGGGTAAATAGAAGGGAAAAGGAGGAAAAGAAGGAATTTCTTTTCATGGTTTTAGTTCCTAGTTTGTCTCTCCAGCTGCCAGCTTCTTCCTGAACTCACTGTGTTCCTAAGAGGAACCAGCAACTACCAGGACCAACCCTTGGAAGATGGAGTGACAGTTGTTCTGCTGTGTGTGACCTACTAGGCTGTACCTCCCTGGCTGTCTGTGTGTGACCTTGCAGTCAACTCTGCTTCTCAAAAGTGCACATCCCAGCTGTGGAGAGTCTCCCCAATAGCTTGGAGCCCCAGATCTACCGGGACCACCCCCATGAACTTCCATGTTTCTACTCCTTGCCCCTCCCTCCTTTTGCATCCACAGACATAGCGGTTATTAATCTCCTTTTTGCTCTTTCAGCCTTTCCATGCTCATGGAAAGAAGCTGCTGGATTAATTCCTCTCTCTTTGAAATACCCAGCGTGGTTTCTGTTTCCTTATAGAAGCCTGAGTGACGCAGGCCGTGGGCCATCACCAATAGCTGAGGCCAGAGAATAACCTCAGTTGGTTGAGCCTGGAACGTGCCTACTTCTGTAGCTGAGAGCGTGGTCTTTTGTTAGAAAAGGGCCAGGTAAGGAGGATGGCACTATGGACCACTATGGGGAAATAGTCATCACAGTGAAAAATAGCTTCGTAGTTTCTCACGGTCAGCTGGGGAAAGGAGGAAGAATAGTGACAGGGGGAAATGAGAGTTAAGAGAAGAGTTTTGTTCTGAGATGGTCATGCATGTTTTAGTGCTGCTGGGAAGGGTCCCAGTTACGGGAAGAGGCGAAGAGGCAGGGAAAGAAGCAACAATGGATGGTGTTGAGCTCCAAAGAGGGGAGAAGCCAGGCCTTGTGCAGCAGGGGGGCCACCCCGGCTGACATAGGAGTGAAGGAGACTATAGTGGATCCAGGTGCGGGGCCGTTTGCCAGGAACTTGTTAGAATTCACCTCTGCTGGCCTGTGTTTTCTCTATTAAGGTGAAGGTATGTCATTTCCAGGGGGCGAGGAGAAGGATGGGTCTAGGCCAGACGTTTGAGGAGAGGAGGTATGAAAAAGCCCTCTTGGCAAGGAGAAAGCGAGTTTGTCAGGAAAACGCAGTGGAGTTATCAGGCACACTGAATTTAGTAATCATAAATTAGTAATCATGAGTCATGAAGCTGGTACGAGTGAGCGTATCAGCTTTCTCTCCTGTGTGGCTGTTTCATTTAGATTCTGGTGTGTGTGCGTGGAGTTATGTGTGGAGAGGAATATGAAGGGAGTGGATATTTAGTTTCTTTTTTTTTTAATTGTATATTTATTCTTACACTTTTTTTTAGATTCTTTATTTATTCACTTTTAGAGAGGGAAGGGAGGGAGACAGAGAGAGAGAGAGAGAGAAAGAAACATCAATGTGCGGTTGCTGGGGTTTATGGCCTGCAACCCAAGCATGTACCCTGGCTGGGAACCTGCGACACTTTGGTTCGCAGCCCACGCTCAATCCACTGAGCTAAGCCAGCCAGGGCGATATTTAGTTTTTTTCAGAAATTTTACCATAAAACCAAGATGGAAAGAAGGACAAGGGAGCGCAGGTTTTGGCAAGAGAATTATTGAGGTGATAGACTATTATGTTTATTCTGGAAAAGAAAAGAACAAAAGTCAGAAGGGAACTAAAGAAAGAGACCCAGTAGAGACACTGAAGGAGTGGATAGTCAAGGAGATCCAGGCGTGACCCCACCGGGGGGTATTCAAACACGCCATCTGAGGAAACAAGGATATGGTCACAGTGCAGAGCGTTTGATTCGATAGTCTGATGACTTTATTAAGGTCATGGTCATGAATTGAGCAAGTAAGGAAGAATGGAGAAAAATTTATTGAAGAAGAGAATGTCAAGGAACCAAAAAACATTTATTTTTAATTGCCAGGATAAGGCTTTGTCTATATAGCCCATGCTTCCCACATTCAACATTTGTTTTCTCCAGTTAAATTGTGGGCCCACTGAGCAAAGGGACTGTGTCTAAAATACAATTTCATTTACGTAGAGCCTCACAAAAGCTCTTTCTCTAATAAAATGTTCTGATAAAACACTATTTTAATGAAATAGTAAAGGTGGCAATTCAAAGAATTTTTTTGACCTGTTAATTGTCTTCAGGAAGATAAGATATGATTATTCTCTTCTGCAGGTGTGGCAACTGGAGAAGGTAAATTGTTTATGCAAAGTGAGCTAACTTCAAACATATAGAAACTTAGTTGACTTAGAAGCCATTCTTCCGGATTTGTTGGAACACAAAACATCGTCTTTTGTTATGTTTTGTTTTGTTTCCATACAATGGCTTTGTAAAATCAGTAACAAAATGGTTATTGTCGGGCATAAGGGGCGGACTCAAAGGGGCGTGATGCTAAGTGCGGTGGCAGTCCAGCCACTGGTGACTTGAGGGAAATGAGAAGTGTGAGGGTTCCACATTGTCATCTTTCCTGTTTCGGAACCACAGGAAAGGTGATGCTCTTCTCCTTTGCACCCCACTTCCGCCGTCACCCTCTTCCTTACTCCTTTGCAACATTTCATCTGGCTCGGCCCTTTGCCTCATGCCCAGCACCTCTGGTCCCCTCCCTACATCCTCCTGAGACTTGACAGTCTGGGATTCAGCTATCGATGAATCAATGCTTAGAGGATTTTAAAAGTCACCTTGTAAAGTCATATTGATTCACAGTGACGTCTCATGTGATGCTCATTACAAATGGCAGCAGCTTGCATGACCCACCTGCTCCCACTGCCAACTGCATTCCTCTCGCTCAGAATCTCTTGATCAGTGAGTCATTCCCTCCTGAGGTTGACTGAAAGTTAGTTATGAAAGTGAAAAACTCGAAGTCTGCAAATTACTTACTTTTCAAAAAATAAATTCGAGAGAACACAACTGAACTGAAATGCCTTTCAGTGGGTGAACGCTTGAGCAAGCACAACGGAATACTGCTCAGCAATAAAAAAGGAATGAACTATTACTACAAGCAACACCAGGATGGATCTAAGGGCATTATGCTTAGCAAAAAAAAATCCAATCTCAAAGGCTTACACATGGTATGATATTTACGTAATATTCTTTTACATAATATTTTCAAAAGGACAGAGCAACAAAGATAAAAAATAGACAAGAGGACAGGGATGGAGGGGAGAAGATGTACCTGTGAAAGAGGAGCACGAGGAGTTCCTACATGTTGAAGGAACATATCTGTATCTTTTTTTAATCACCACACATAGTTACACGTTTTTTTTTCTTACAATGAGAGCTTTTAAGACCTATTCTCTTGGCCACTTTTAAATGTACAATGCACTATTACTAACTACAGGATTTAATTTATCTATAACTGGAAGTTTGTACCTTTTGACCGCCTTCATGCATTTCACCCTCCCACCCCTGCCTGTGACAACCAGCAATCTGTTTTTTTGTATTTATGAATTCAGTGTTTGTTCGTGTTCTTTAGATTCTACATATAAGTGATACCACATAGTATTTATCTTCCTCTGCCTCATCCACACGTATTTCACTTAGCACAGTGCTCTTAAAATCCACGCATGCTGTTTCAAATGACATGATTTCCTTCTTTTGATGGCTAAATTCATATATATATATATATTTGAAATATATATTTGAGTTTATGTTTATATATGTCACATTCTTTAATCCATTCATCCATCGATGGACACAGGCTGTTTCCATGTCTTGGCTATTGTAAATAGCCAATATTGCAACAATAATGCTGCAATAAACATGGGGGTGCAGATACCTTTTTGAGTTACTGTCTGCATTTCCTTTGAATATAAATACCCAGAAGTTGAAATGATGGGTCATATGGTAGGTAGTTCTATTTTTATTTTTTGGGGAAACCTCCACACTGTTTGCTATGGTGGTTGTACCACTTGATAATCCTACCAACAGTGTACAAGGTTTCCCTTTTCTCCACATTATTGCCAACACTTGATATTTTTTTTTATTGATTACAGCCATTCTAACAGGTCTGAGGTGATATCCCACTATGGTCTTGATTTACACTTCCCTGATGGTTAGTATATACGTACGTATGTCTGTCATCTGTATGCCTTTGGAAAAATATGTATTCAGATCCTCTCTGCCCATTTAAAAAACTTTGAAATTAGCTTTAGTGATGTGACATTGGTTAATAACATATAAATTTCAGGTGCACAGCTTTATAATGCATCTGTATATTCTCTTTTGTTCTCACCACCCGGAGTCTGGTGTCCTTCCACCACTGTGTATTTGACTCCCTTTTGTGCTTCTCGTCCTCTGCTCATTTTTCATTAGATTTTTTTTGTTATGAGTTTTATGAATAGTTCTGCATGTTGGTTGTGATGGGGCTACCTGAAACTGTATATGGTGCTAAATTGTGTAGAAGTATACACACAGAGAGAAGAAAATGAGTGCACACAAAGACTAGTGAAAACGGAATGAGGTGTGTAGTCTAGTTAGCAGTAGTATTAGTCAGGGTTCTTCAGAGAAACTGAAGCAGAGACAGAAGTAATAAGACATATAATCTATGATTAGGCATTGGCTCATGCAGTTATGGATCTATTACTAGGTATTGGCTCATGCAATTATGAAGAAACTCCATTTTCTGGCATTTGGAAGCTGGAGATACAAGAAAGCTGGTGATGTAGTTCAAAGGCTTGAAAACCAGAGGAACCAACTCCCATCTTCCAGTGACTGGGTGTGACTGAACATTCTAGACCCTGTCCACTTGTTTGCCTGGCTTTCAGGTGACTCTTCATTATTGCTCCATTTCTACTAGACTGGATAATGGCCTTGGACAAGCTCTATACTTTCTGATTGTTATTTGCATACCACTCCCAGCTTAAAGAACCTTTTCTTATAAGGCCCTTGCTTTGTCAGTGATTTTGAATTCAGTAATGCTACCCCATATTCTCTCTTGGAGCATGCGTACAAGTATTTTCTATCATAACACTGACCACACTTTGTATTCATGTCATACTTCTTTGTTTTTGCACTTAATGACCACTTCCTCACTACACTATTGAGCCCAATGAGGGAAAAGTCTTTATCAATTTTCTTCCCTAAGTGGGAAGCAAGCCATGTGTGTACACGTGCCCAGAGTTCTCTTGGCAGTGAGAAAAGCAAAGGCGAAGGACCTGAGGTGGGGGATTTCCTGAAAGTTTGTTGATGAGCAATGAGGCCAGTGTGGCTGTGTAGAGTGAGCATCGTGGAAACCATGAGAAATGAGGACACAGAGGTAACACGGGGATAGGGAGTAAGGAAGATGATTTCAGGGTCTTGTAGGCCTATAATGACCTTGGCTTTTACTCTGTGTGAGGTGGGGAGTCTCTGAAAGGTTTTAATCAGAAGTACATGATTTGACATGTTTTAAACATATTTCCATTTACTGATTTCTGAGTGTCTCCTTAAATTAAACAAAGTAGAAAGGAGAAGAGGGATGCTGTGTATTGGCCCTCTAAAATCTCACACCTGCTATGTGGAAGACCCTATGTCAAGTTTGTTTGCTTGTTTGTTTTTTCTATCATTTCCTTTAGTTCCATTATTTAGTATATTTAACAAATTAAGAAACTAAGGCTTAGGGAGGTTACAAATATTACCCAAGGCCTTATATTCAGTAAACTGCAAGTTTATGATGTAAGCCTAGTCTGCTAACCTTAAAGCTCACTCTCTGAACCACTCTGCTCTACTTCTGGAGCATAATCTGACTTAAGGAGGTGAGAGAAGGAGATAAGGCTGTAGAAGTAGGCAGTCTTCAGGCTGTCAAAGATTTCGTATGCCCTATATAGTAGATGCTTATATACTCAATCTGTCTTTGAGTGGGCTGGCTTCCAACCCTGCTGAGGTTATTACAGCACCTTCTCTGCAGGCTTGGTTGAGGGGAAGGCACCTGATGTGCATATGGCTTGTCAGAGTGATACTTTCATTCCCCTAGCAGCTTGTGATTGAGCCAAGGATGACATGTGATCCCAGCCAGGCCAATCAGAGGCTTTCATCTTGGTTTTTATTGAAACTAGAGAACAAAATTTCTCCTCTGGGTATTGGAGATGGAAATATGAATAAGAGAATGGCATCTATCATCTTTCTTTCTACATGTGGCAACTAGTTCACAATAGGGAAAAATAATTTGGACGTGGCTCTCCTGGTTGGCAGTCAACTCAGGAGTGCTTTGGAATATAACCCCGAGCACATGTGGAAAGAGGGAGTGACTGTTTTTTTTTTTTTGCATGTTAATATTAGCTCTCTCAGTATGAAGTCAGAGATTTGTTAGGTGGGTAGAATTTCTCTATCAGCCATAAGTTTCCTAAAGAAAATCAATCTTTTCTATGCTAGATTATTTCTGCATTAAGAAGAAATGGACCTCTATCTGGACTGAAGACCTTCAACAACTGTTCTTTCCTTCCTCCCAAACTCACCTCATAAAATCAGCAATTGTATAGATCTTCCTCTTTACCAAGTCAGCACAAGCAGAACGAAAGAGATGCCTACACCTGTAATTCATAAGAATCTAAAGAACATACAAATCCACAATGCATAGACAGTGCTTGTCACATCTCTGCTCAAAGCCCCCAGAGAATCACCATCACGTTTAGGATAGGTCCAGTACCCAGCATGCCTATGGGGCCCTAGATGATCCAGCATAAAGCTTCCTTTCTGACCTCATCTTCTACTATTTCCTTCCTGCTCTGTTTACTCCAACCAACTGGGCCCCTTGTTGTTCCTCAAACACTCCGAGCACTCTCACTTCTGAATGCTTGCACATTCTATTTCCTCTTTCTGAAACACCTTTCTCTCAGATACCCACATGGCTCTCTAACTTCTTCCAAGTCTCTGTTCAGATGTTGCCAAATCATTGAAGTCTTTACTGCCCTTCCTAAATAAAATAACCTACCCAGACTGAAATGCTATTTTTTATGGTACTTATCACTACCTATTCATGTATTGGTTACTGTCTGTCTCTGAACACAAAGACTCTATTGCTTAGGTCCCTGAAGAATTTCCTGTACCCTCTGGCACATCGTAGTGAGTGCTCAGTAATCATTCTTTAATGGTTATTGGACGAGTGAATGTAATTATGACATTCATTGTGACATTAGGATAATAATTGATTTATGATCATTGTTGAATTATTTGGAGTTCCTTGAGCACTTTTACATTAACATTACTAAATATTTTCCTTTTCCAAAATAGGTCATGCTTAGACATAGAAAGTATAAGAACCACTGACCTGGTAGAGCGGTAACCATAGTTAAGATCGCTTGGTGATTAAGTGAAGGATAAAATTAAGGGAGATAAAACTGTACACAACCTATTGTAATTCAGGATTTCAATGATGAAGGGTTGAATTAGACAAATCGAAATAGATAAAGGTGCATATTAAAAAATGTTAGGTAGTAATATCAGCAGAACTTGGGAAATGTCTGCTGGGAACGAGTTAAAGGGAATAGTCAAGGATGACTTCATATTTCTAGGTTGAGGTGAATGGTTAATGAAACTGCTACCAATTGAGAGGAGAGAGAGAGGGGCGGGGAGAGAGAGAGAGTGTGAGAGAGGGAGGGAGAGAGAGAGAGAGAGAACCAGAGAGGGTGATATAAAGGTAGGGATAATTATGAGTTAGCTTTGGCAAGATTGACTTAGGTAATGCTGAAGACAACAAAGAAAAAATGACCAACAAACCACCAGATATATGAGGCTGCAGGTGAAAAGCATGGTCTGCAGATTAAAATTTGGGGGGTCAGTCCAACAATTTCAACTTTTCAGCATGCTCTAAAAACAAAATCATTCACCATCCTTCCAAAATTGCCCCTGTTCTTTTTTCTATGTTGCCTCTAGAGTGATATATTCAGGTTTCACCATCTTATGAGCAAAAGGATATGAACTAACTCATTTTTAAATTAAGTATGATTTTATTGACATTATGAATGCACCAAGTTTGATAATAAAATAAGAAGTCTTATAATGAGAAAAGGTATTCAAATCAACCCCTTTTAGCATTTGGTTTTTGTCTTTTAAGATTAATCTTTATATTCCTAAATATTTTGTTTACATTTTTGATTTATCAATTTCACATATTTTCTATTAATTTCCTGTAATGCAGATGAGGTTTTTTTTGCTTTGTTGTTCTTTGTTCATCTTCTTTCCCATCATCCTAATACAACTTTATCACAATTTTTGGTCTAAACAACAGAGTCTTTTATTGCGACTACATAAAAGACTCAGAACCAATGGTGTACTGATAGCTTAATTAGTTATCCTTGTTTGACTCAAATTTAGTTTTTTCTTCAGTCAAATTTACTTAGCTTTTTCATTTGCTTTGTTTAAAAAAACACCTAAGCTTCATATCTGCAAATGTTCCATCATGTCTATTAAATTGCTATCAATATTATTTTCCAAAATCTCTAACATGTCAGATAATCTCTCAAGCCCGTGTTTTGTTTTCTTTCTGGAAACTCAACCCCCAAGCCCTTTGTCCTGTTGTTCCAATTTAACCAATTGCTTCTAAGGCTGCTGAATGTCTCATCCTAGTTCCTTTTGTTTATTTGTTTAATTAAAAGATATTATTTATTTATGTCTAGGGAAAGGGAGGGAGGAAGAGAGGGAAAGAAATATCCATGTGTGCTTGCTTCTCACATGACCCCCACTGGGGACCTGACCCACAATCCAGGCAAGTGCCCTGACTGGGAATCGAATCAGCAACCTTTTGATTCACAATCTGGTGCTCAGTCCACTGAGCCACACCAGTCACCCAGCTTCTTTAAGTGTCACCATCACTATGGAACTGACTTTTATCACTCTGCTATACTGGATCCCTTCTTTAACAAGACCCACTATTCTCCTCTTTCTTGTTTTGTGACCTTAGTTTACTGTAGCAATCCTCCAATAGCTTCTTATGAACAAGTACTTAAAAGACCATTTTATTTTCTTTTATTTTTTCAGCTCTTGCACATCTGAAAAGTCTTATGTAAGCCTCACATTTGATTGGGAATTAGGCTATCTATAAATTTCATATTGAAGTTCCTCCCTGAGAATGTAAAAAATATACTTCCACTGATTCCTGGTGTCCAGTGCTGTTTCTGAGAAGTCCAAAGCCATCTAATTTTCTTGATTTTAATTATGAGTTACTTCTCATCCTTTCTCTGGAAATTTTTCTTTCACTTATTCCTCACCAGTATTCCACAATTTTGTAACATCACAGTTTCTGTTTGTTTTCATTTTTCTAGGCTAGTAGTCATTAACTTCTTATCACTATAGAACATCTTATAATTTAAGCAAAATTCCCCTGTATTTTTGTTTTTTTCTCTTTCTAAACTTCCTATTTACTAGAAGTTGGCTCTCCTGGATTTCTCTAACTTATCTTTTCTTTCCCATTCCCCTCATATATCTTTTATTCTACTTTCCAGATGATTGTCTTGAATTTAGCTTTCTACACATACTGAATTCTTGCCTATTAGCATTATATATTTACTTTCCACAGACCTTTTAAATTTGATAATTAGTTCATTTTCATAGCATTATTTTTCACTTGAAGAGTAGCAGAATTTCTCATTTCAACATTAAGGTAGGTGTCTTGCTAAGTGAGGGCTACGGAGGGTGGGGGCGTGAACCATGATGTGTCTTAGCTCATTTGCCTAACTCATGCCACCTGCCTTCTGTGCTGCTTCTTAGATATTAGCCCCTCAAGGAGTTTTTGCTTCTATTCTCATTCTATAAAGGTGAACTCCTGAAGTGCAAAAGTACACCATAGTAGAATATGGACTTTAGAATGAAGGAATTTGGGGCAAGATCTAAAATCACAAACAATAATGAGTTCATAATTTTGACTCCATAAAAAAGCAAAATTTCTGTTCAAGGTAAAATAATATGATCATATTCTAATATACCAAAATATTAGAAATGGTTATTTCTGAATGGTGAGAATGTATGATAGGGAAGAAAGAAAGCTCAAAAGAAGATGTACTGACTGAAATAAAATTGAGGAATAAGGGATAAGGCCTACATGAGGTAGGAGTGTAACAATATGTGAATTAAGGTGGGAGACAGCTGTTGGTACAGAAGTCCGTGGAAAGATCATGGGTTAAATTATATGAGCTAGTACACAGCTAAATGATAAGGAAGGTTACTTTGGAAAGGGGTGGATGGTGCCTGAAATGCAGTAGAACTGGAAATCATAGACCACCAAATGGGTTATCTACACAGTCCCTGTAATCTTCTAAAAGATGGGCAGGAATTGTGAGGAGTGCAAGGCTGAGTCATGTATCAAGATCTTCAGTGTTTAAATAAGGATTGTCCAAGGATGGTATGGACCAGAAAGCTGGCAGACCACACCGCAAGGATGAGCTACTTTATTCAAAGAAAAATCCCATCACACTCATCTGTAAGAAAAACTGCCTATTTTTAAATGGAGCTCTTAGGATTAATCATGGAGAAGTCTTTTTACAAAGGATCATTACATTGCGTTTAATATGACCATATTCTTCCTGTACTTAATATATCTATTTAGCAGACATTTTATGTAGTGTTGAAAATTTCCACTTCGGTACTAAACTCATTGTTGTTTAACATTTAAACCTCTTAATTTGTGTGCTGACGTTACTGTATTAGAGGATTCAGGATAAAAGATGACAAAAAGATGGGGAAAGCCTTTATGGTATGACAAGCAAACATTTTAGGTCTTGGAAATTTTGCAAATTTTCTACTGATTTCCTGAAAAGTCTTTCAGTTGCTTACATAGCATATGATTATCTTGTCTGCCCCAAGTCAGGCTGACCCACTTCCCAGTTTGATAAAGATTTCTTGGAAGCCAAGAAAACACTGGCAAGACTAAGGAGATTCTCTGGAAGGAAGTACTTAACAACTCATTTTATTTATGTTCCTATATAAATATTTCTGCTGTTACTCTTGATCTAAATCATTCTCGGCTGTGGTTTTAACAATACACATTTATTATCTTGCATTTCTGTAGTTCACAAGTCCTAAATGGGTCCCCTGAGGCTAAAACCAAGGCCTGCATTTCCAGGAGTCTCGGGGGACAATGAGCTGTCTGCCTGTTCCAGCTCCAGAGGCTTCCCACGTGGTGGGTCCCCTGCCCCTTCCACTGTCAAAGCCAGTGATGGCTAGTTAAGGCTCCCTCACAAGATTCCGCCCTGACATGGACTCTTGTGCCTTCCTCTTTCACACTTAGGGAGCCTTATGATTGCATTGGGTAATCCAGGATAATTTCTTCACTTCAAGGTCAAATGAATTGTAGCCTTCGCTCTATCTGCAGATCCTTTTATTCTTCCCAGTTATGTAATATATGACAAATTTCGGGCATTAGGACTTGGACAACTTTAAGGGGGCATGATTACCACAACATGGTACTACCACAACTACCAAGTTAAGAAACAGTCCAGGTAACTTTTTTTTTTTTTAATCTCACAGGGCACACTTCTCCTGAGCTATAAAGCTTCTTAATTTCAGCCCCTGGTATCCACCAACCCAACTGAGAAACAAAGGGCTCTATTAAGCTACTGCAGGACACATAGATGCCAACTTAATTTGGGACTCCAGTATGAGAAGAGGAAGTATGTGGCCTTCTCATAGCATAACTGGAGGAAATGAAACCTGGAAGGATTCCTAGTTCTTCTTGTCAAGCTAGCACAGTATTAGAACCTCGCAACACTTCCACTTTCTCTGACTTATTTTCTCAACACAATATTATTGTTGACACTATTTATTATGTGGTTGGAGTAACAAAGAACAGAAAAGTCATTTGCCTTTCTTTATAGTTTGGAATAGAAAAATAGAAATAGCTACCTTACATTGAATGCTAATCCTAAGAGCTAAGAATACAGCAGGCATTGCTGTTTCCATTTTATCTGTCTTTTAAATCATCACCCAAG